TTGCAGACAGAACATCCCTGCCCTGCAGAGGAAGGTCTTCCTCTCACAGCCGTCGAAGAGCTGCGGGGAGCAGAGGGAAACTGCCACCACAGCCATCTCTTCTGCCAAATCTCTCTGAGAAAATGGGTGCTGTCGGCTTGCATCCTCCAGAACAGCTTCCTTCAAGGCAGGACTTCTCCAGAACAGGGAAACGCCCTCACTGAGGGAGAAGGCAGAGATGCAGGAACGAGGAAAGAAGACAGATGGTTGAACTTCCCGTGGATGAGAACCTGGGGCTGTGAGTCAAGACCCAAGGCTTTGTTTTCAGGTTTGCCTCTTGACGTGCGATTCTGTTCTGAAACCATGCTCCCAGGCTTAACAGAAGCTGGTGACTAACAGAAATTCTTGAGTTTGTATTTCAAGCTGCTAAAAGCCCCACTGCTGACAACCTGCCTTCCCTGAGCAGGTCACTTTAATTATTTTGTTCCAAGTCGTGTACCCTCCAAGCTTCACATAACCTAAATAATAAGATGTTTGCCTGAGCTGTTTTCCAGGAACTTGGGGTCAGCTATGTCTAATTTCAATTCAAACTAGCTAAGACTGGTTGGGACCACAGACTCTAAAACCGGGCCTGCTCAGGCGTCCAATGAATGGCCTTTTGACGTCTGAGGACCAAAAATATCCCCCTCAGATCATGCTAAGCACTTCCATTTTTTAACGTGCATCCCATGAAGAAGTGTGTAGCTCAGATACAGCTGCACAGAACACTGACTGCCTCACCTTTTCCTCCCTCCAATCACCTGTGTTGTTTAGTCCCTCAGTCATGTCCAACTCTTTTGCGACCCCAAGGACAGTAGCCCACCAGGCTCCTCTGTCCATGGGATTTCCCAGTCAAGAATATTGGAGAGTGTGGTCATTTCCCTTTCCCAACCCAGGGATTGAACCCACATTTCCTGTATCGGCAGGTGGGTCTTTTTACTACTGATCCACTTGTCCCTCTGCCTAATAGCACCTTGATTCTCTATCCCATAAATATCTCAAGCCCTTCACCTTCCAGGAGGTGGAGCCGAGACTTGTCCTCACATCTCCTTGCTTGGCTGCCTTGTGAAAAAACCTTTCCTCTGCTGTAAACTTTAATATCTCAACATTTTGGCTTGTTGCATGTTGGACATACAAACCTGGTTCAGTAACAGTTCTAGAACATGGACAGCCCCATGTGAAAATATGTATTAATTTTTGAGAAAATTTGGCTTAGCCCCTGAACACTGAGAGTGTAAGCTTACAATAGAAAGTGCTCAACATAGACTTTTCAGACCTAGACTAAGAGTTGTCAGAAGTGGAACCTCCTGGAACAAAGCTGCTGAGTTACTTACTGACCCCAGCAAACAAGGATGGAGACCATTTTATCCTTTGCCCCTGGCCTTTGTTTGATATCCACTCTGCATCTCCATACAGCAGCCATGCTGCTGCTCTGCTGGGAAATGACCTCCTTGCAGAAGGGCCAGTGAGAAGAAAGCTGTGGGATCTTGAACTGTGACCTCACTCTGTTCCATGGTAACAATTGCTTTTTATCTTATGACAAATGCAAATAATAACAGTCCTTCACTTATCGATACCAACATATCTGTGATAAGACATTGAAATGGTTGAGCAGATTGAAAGAATATTTTTTTCTTCATGGATTTTCACTTTTATGATCTTTCAGTTTAAAGATTAAACTCAGAGCCAAAGAGAAAATTCCTGCTAACACTGACAAAGGCATCTTACTATCATTTTTAACAGTTTAAGAAGCCAAGATATTTTCATTTCCCAAAAGAGCATCACCTGCGGCAAGGACTATACCCTGGACTTTTCTTACTCATTTAAGATAGAGCCCCAGAAGGATTTTTCAAACTTCTTGATTAAAGAATGTAAGGGAAGAGTGCAATTCCACATATTAATGACATTCTGGAAAATTATCTGGGTCACTTACACAGGGCTTGTCTTAAACTTTCTACACCAACACCTGTGGATACTCTGTCCAGTCTCAGAAAGGTAACTCAATGTTCTCATCTGTTTGACATGTGCTATAAAGGACTGGGCTTCCCAGGTGGCACTAGTGGTAAAGAATTTGCCTTCCAAAGCAAGAGACATAAGAGACACAAGTTCATTCTCTGGGTCAGGAAGATGCCCTGGAGGAGGGCACAGCAACCCACTCCACTATTCTTGCCTGGAGAATCCCATGGGCAGAGGAGCCTGGTGGGCTACAGTCCATGGGGTTGCAAAGAGTCAGACACCACTAAAGCAACTTAGCATGCATGAGTGACGAATTGAGAAGGAAAGAAGGCAGACAAATCAGACTTCATTTGAACATGACAGTATTTTTAATTATTAGCTGAAGTCTGTTCAGATGATCAAATTTCTATGTTGCTCTGTGATTACCATGCTCTGTATCCAGGGAGAAGTGCATCTCATCTCCTTCAGTAAAGCTGAGAAGTGTCTCAACTTAAGCTGGTTTTGATTCATTACATTGAAAAGAAGCCAAGTTGGTCTTTAATATATGTTAAAACCAATCAGTAAGTGTTATCTGTAGAAAAAAATAACTGAAACTATCAAAATGGTTCACTCTAGACTCAGAATATAGAGGAAGTGGGGCTTTCTGGGTGGCTCAGTGGTAAAGAATCTGCTTACCAGCAGGAGACATGGGTTCAATTCCTGGGTCAGGAAGATCCCCTGGAGGAGGGCATGGCAACCCACTCTAGTATTCTTGCCTGAAAAATTCCATGGACAGAGGAGCCTGGTGGGGTGCAGTCCATGGGGTCACAAAGAGTTGGACATGACTGAAGGACTGAGCAGACACGCACGCACGAAGTGCTTTTAGTGAAGCATTTGACAAGGTCACAAAGATCTTGTTTCTGGAACGTATGAAGATTTTTATCACAAAGGAAAGAAAAGAAAAGAAAGAAAAATCAAATTCAGATGCATCAACTTGAACATTAAGCAAGGAGACATAAAGATGAAAAGCAAGCCACCTGATTACCCATCAATAAAAAATAAATTAGAATTCTATTAAACATAGATGCATTTATTTAACCAGAAACAAAAATATTTCCAAATGTACTACAACCATTTTAGTTTCTTTTCATAGTCACTGCCTCCACAGTAAGTTGGATTTCTATATTCTGAAACAAGCAACATCATTTAAAGCTTGTGGAAAGATCTTGCATCCTTGCCTATGTTGAGAAAAACCATGGACCCAGAGGAAAATTTGCTGCTCCTAAAAAATATCCTTTCTTGCTGCTACAGCTTCTACCCAAGACTATTGCTTAGTGGTAGGTGAACTGAATCACATGAAATGGATCTTCCAGCTGCTCTAGAAGTAATACAGAATAAATAATTGTAGTTAGCAATTTCAAATAACACAGGATTTCACCATTTTTCCAGTAAAAGTGTATGCCATTAGGGGGAAAAAAAAATCAAACTTTGAGTTCAGATAGTTGGGAGTGAGGAAGTGCTGAGTTATATTTTAAAAGTGGGTAAGATAAGTGTTCCATTTTGAGTTCATTTTACTTAGAGTTGCTCTGTTCCTTAACCCATGCATAGGCATGTTTTCACATGTGTATGTTTAAAGACAATATTCAATGAACATTTTGTATGTATTTATAGACAGTATATGTGCATGTGTGTATGTGTGCATATGTGTAAATGTCTGGAAGGATGGCCACTAATCATTTTTGGGTATTCAATACTGAAATTTACGGTGATTTGTTTCTTCTTCGTTCTTTGGTTGCAAATATTTACACCTTTGTACAATGACCAGGTATTATCTACATCACTAGGAAAAATCTTGAGGCTTTACAGGTGGCTCAGTGGTAAAGAATCCACCTGCCAATGCAGGAGATGCAGGTTCAATCCCTGGGTCGGGAAAATACCCTGGAGAAGGAAATGGCACCTCATTCCAGTATTTTTGCCTGGGAAATCCCATGGACAGAGGAACTTGGTGAGCTTAGTCAATGGGGTCACAAAAGAGTTGGGCATGACTGAGCCACTAAACAATAAGGAAAAATCTTAGACATTTTTATTGAGGAAAAAATGTGACTGCTCAATATGTTTGAAACAGATCTGGCTGCTTTCTTCTGCATAACCTCTCCTATAATAAAATAAACTATATTAGGGCTTTAAAGAAATTGATGCTTTGTCTCTCATCTCCAGACACCACTTCCATTTTAATTCATAAAGAAAGACTGAAATTATTATAACCTATCTTTTATCTATTTTCATAGCAAGTCACTCTATCTTTTAATAACACAAACCATCTGTATTCAAATTTCCTAAGAATGAAATATTTATCACGCACTATGGATCATTCTTGCAAAACAGGTTGATCTCTGAGAAAGATTCTGACAAGGTCCCATATAAGATAGATGGTTCAATATCAGGGCAAGATTCTAATCCTTGATGGATCAGAAACCTTCAGCCCAAATCAATGAGAAAAGAGCGAGAAAACACTTGCATAGGAAATAAAAAAATAAAAATACCTAAAAACCTAAGAAATTTTAATTGGTCAGATTATCTACTGCAGCTAACACAAGAAAGGAGAAAGTTCTCTTTACGTTCCTACTTTCTAGACAAAGCAGTGAAATTCAGGTCACAACATTTTCCAGTTATAACACTGGTTCCGTTGCTTTTATCTTTTTTTCTTAGCAAATCATTTTTTCACAACTGTAATTTTTTCAGAATAAAGTGCTAGTGTGTACTTACTGGGGCTTATTTGCTACAGAAAATTTCCAATGTAAAATAAGCTCAGAGTAAAATAAATCGAATTCTGTTTCTTCTAATGGATTGTGTAGTAAAGGCAAAAAGTACTGCAAAAAAAAGAAAATTACAGCGTTAAACGTTCATGAAAGGAAACCCTGAAAAGAAAATGACTGAAAGGAAATACTATGAGAAAATCCACCCTGAGCAAACGATGTCTTTACTTCACAGCATTTCCAACATCATTTGTAACAGTGTTCTACAAATGGCCTTTAATGTTTTGAAAGACATTCAACAGATTCAGCAACGTTGAGGAACAGTATCCACCAGTGGAAGCTGAGGTGCTTGGCTTTGACATCAGAGTTGGCCTCAAGGCCTCAGAACCCGCCTCAAGGCCTCAGACCCCGCCTCAAGGCCTCAGACCCGGCCTCAAGGCCTCAGACCCCGAGTCTCCGCCATGCTGACTCATCCTCTGACGCCGCCCACGCTGGACGTCGCTCATGCTGGACGTCGCTCACGCTGGACGTCCCTCACGCTGGACGTCCCTCACGCTGGACGTCCCTCACGCTGGACGGCAATGAGCAGCAGCCACGAGATTTCACCGTGGGCAGTGAGGGCAGGTTTGTCGCCCCAGCCTCACTTGCAGGAATGAGGACGCACAAACCAGACGTGGTCCCGGCACAGACTGTTCAGTGTCCGTCCCCACAACAGGGAGTAGGTGACGGAGAGACCAAGGGTCCGGAACAAACTCAGCCTCCTCCGCCCGTTTCCCCACCGGGCTCTGCCCCAGCCGGGGAGAGGAGCGGGGCGAGGGCGGTTGGTGAGCAGATGCCACCAGGAGCATCACCGGGATACCTGATAGAGACTGGTTGGGGAACACCGGCTCCTGCAGAGAAAACGGGTTCAGCGAGCTCTGGTGCGGGCCCCTCTCCCTTCTCCACCCAGGGCAGGGGCAGCGCCTGTGGCAGACTCACTGAGTCAGGCAGGTGTCCCCACAGTGGACCGGACCGGGCAGCCCCAGGGGCTCAGCTTGCATTTCCCAGGGTCCACAATGGATTCAGCTCTTTCTGGGGCAGCGGCGAGAAGCCAGGAATCACGCAAAGGAATGTCCCTCCCGGGATGAAGAATCAAGCTTGGGAGTTGCCCACATCGCACGGGCTCTGGGTTGAGACACCCAGACCTTGACTCTGGACCAGCCACCCAAGGGGGATTCTCAGGAGAGCTCGTTTCCTCGTTTGTAAATGCAGACACAGTACGTTATGTAGATTCAGGAATAGGAGATCAACTGTGTGGAACACTTAGCAGGTGTTTTCATACATGTAAGTTACTATAAAAGTTGTCATTTCTGAGCCAAATGTATATTTAGTCAATCATGATTTTCTTGGTATTTATTCCTACAGTAACATCTCACTGGTTACAGACACACCACAGTGCCGCTCCATCTGTCTGTATTTATTCTGAGAGAAATCAAAACACCCTGGATAATGGCTTATCGTCAGTCAGATGCTTACAGGTATAATTAGTTTATGGCTAGCTTGTCCCCAAAGTCTCTCTGTCCCTTCTGCCTTCTTAGTATGTTTACCTTGCTCCACTGCCCCTGATGCAACCTTGGTGAAGGCACCTCACAACTGTCCTCCTAAAGAAACTCCTGGTCACAGCTCTGCTTCCTTCAGTCCCCACTTAGGCTAATCCAAAGAGAGAGTCTAAACAAGCAGATCAATTCAAGGACTTCCTTTGGCTCAAGTCCAGATCTGGGCTCTGTGACCCTTAGAACCTTCATCAGAAATAGTCATTTCCTAGAATTCTGAGTTCAGAGCATCCTTGTCTTCAGGCTAGGTCAGTTTCTGAAGAGCATCCTGTCTCTGAGCCTTGACATTCTGGAATCGGGGATCTATAGTCTGTTCTCTCCTGGAGACTTTACTAGTTTTTTCCACTCAGTCTATCTTTGTAACAGATTAGACATCACCTTCTCAGGAAAGCTTTCGCTGGCATTCTGAGGCTTGAATAAGCACTTATATTCAAGCCATCATCTCACATTTCACATAAGGGTAAACTGAACTTTTAACTGTCCATCCATCCAGACTAGACACTCCTCAAGAGAAGTAAATAGTTTCATGAGTGTTTTTACTGCTGGGCACAAGAAGGCACAGAGTGTGTGTTAAATAACCCTTTCTTTATACACCCTGAACTTCAAAGTCAAATTGTCTGGGGGTTCTCAGTCCCTTTGCTGGCTCCCCAGCATATCAAAGCTGTATTTTGTCACCCTGCTTATTTAACTTATATGCAGAGTACATCATGCAAAATGCAAGGCTGGATAAAGTAAAAACTGGAATCAAGATTGCCAGGAGAAATATCAATAACTTAAGATATGCAGATGACGCCACTCTCATGGAAGAAAGCGAAGAGGAACTAATGAGCCTCCTGATGAAAGTGAAAGAGGAGACGGAAAAAGTTGGCTTAAAACTCATCATTCAGAAAACAAAGATCATGGCATCTGGTCCCATCACTTCCTGGAAAATAGATGGGGAAACAATAGAAACAGTGAGAGACTTTATTTTCTTGGGCTCCAAAATGACTGCAGATGGTGACTGCAGCCATGAAATTTAAAGACACTTTCTCCTTGGAAGAAAAGCTATGACCAACCTAGACAGTATATTAAAAAGCAGAGACATTACTTTGCCAACAAAGGTCCATCTAGTCAAAGCTATGGCTTTTCCAGTAGTCATGTATGGATGTGAGAGGTGAACCACAAAGAAGGCTGAGCTCCAAAGAACTGATGTTTTTGAACTGCGGTGATGGAGAAGACTGTTGAGAGTTCCTTGGACTGCAAGATCAAACCGGTCCATCCTAAAGGAAATCAATCCTGAATATTCATTGGGAGAACTGAAGCTCCGATACTTTGGCCACCTGATGCAAAAAGCTAACTCATTAGAAGAGACTCAGATGCTGGGAAAGATTGAAGGCAGGAGGAGAAGGGGGACCACAGAGGATGAAATGGTTGCATGGCATCACTGACTTGATGGGCATGTGTTTGAGCAAACTGATGGACAGAGTACATCATGAGAAACGCTGGGCTGGAGGAACCACAAGCTGGAATCAAGATTGCCGGGAGAAATATCAGTAACCTCAGATTAAAGCACAACATTCAGAAAACTAAGATCATGGCATCCAGTCCCATCACTTCATGGCAAATAGATGGGGAAACAGTGGAAACAGTGGCTGACTATTTTTCTGAGCTCCAAAATCACTGCAGATGGTGATTGTAGCCATGAAATTAAAAAACGCTTACTCCTTGGAAGGAAAGTTATGACCAACCTAGACAGCATATTAAAAAGCAGAGACATTACTTTACCAACAAAGGCCCCTCTAGTCAAGGCTGTGGTTTTTTCCAGTAGTCGTGTATGGATGTGAGAGTTGAACTATAAAGAAAGCTGAGCACCGAAGAATTGATGCTTTTGAACTGTGGTGCTGGAGAAGACTCTTGAGAGTCCCTTGGACTGCAAGGAGATCCAACAAGTCCATCCTAAAGGAGATCAGACCTGGGTGTTCTTTGGAAGGACTGATGTTGAAGCTGAAACTCCAATACTTTGGCCACCTGATGCTAAGAGCTGACTCATCTGAAAAGACCCTGATGCTGGGAATGATTGAGGGCAGGAGGAGAAGGGGACGACAGAGGATGAGATAGTTGGATGGCATCACCGACACAATGGACATGGGTTTGGATAGATTCCAGGAGTTGATGATGGACAGGCAGGCCTGGCATGCTGTGATTCATGGGGTTGCGAAGAGTCAGACACAACTGAGTGACTGAACTGAACTGATGGACTGGGAAGCTTGGCAGGCTGCAGTCCATGGGGTTGCAAAGAGTCAAGACACAACTGAGTGACTAAAGTGAACTGAACTATGCACACTATTGGTACTATGCATAAAACATAACTAATGAGAACCTACTGTATAGCACAGGGAACTCTACTCAGGGCCCTGTGGTGACCTAAATGGGAAGGAAATCCAAACAGGAGGGGTTATGTGTGTACATATCGGTGATTCACTTTGCTGTGTGGTAGAAACTAACACAACATTATGAAGCAACTATACTCTAATGTAAATTAAATAAATAAATAACCATTTTGCCAATTCCCTTGCTAATGAATGCACAGATAGATAAACAAATGAGATGCAAATACAAGACATCACTCCAGTGACTCTCCTCCGTTCCCATCCCATATTCCTATTGTCCCAAGCACCGTCTTTTCACCCCACAGGTATCCCATCGGGCGTTTACATTCCATGACCCCTAGGGTAGTCAGTGTCACTCTCACTTCTCTGTCTGGAATGACCAGGTTAAGACTCAAAGTCAAGGTTGCTGTTGTGACAAGATGGTCCCGTCAATAGATTCTCAGTATAAAGATTAAAACTTGTACAGTCTATTTGGGGAGTACTTTCGAGACTCTTCTAGAATTTCTTGCTCTCCAATTTCTTCTTTTTAAGATCTTGCTATTCCTTCCTCCTTCACATCATACCTATCTCTCTTTTTTTGGCTTCATGAACATCTACCAATCTTTTAGCTTAAATATCTTCAGCTCTCAGCAATTTTTTGGACACTGGGAATAGAGCCAGTGCGTGGAAAGGGCTTTCCTTTCTGGAATGTGACCAGCACCAGGGCAGAGTCCGGAGAAAGAGAGGAAAGAAATGCAAGACTTAAGTTGCTCAAGGAGGAAGCCTCTGTCCCACGAAGGACTTTTCTTCTAGTGTTTCTCCTCTCTGCATCTCTCCACTGACCCCTGGAGGTGCAGCAAGCCCACAAAAGGGGTGTCTAGGCACAAGCAGGCTGGAGACAGGTGCTGTCCTTCAGGGTGCTTTGGCCTCCCTGGCCGGTTCAGAACCTAATATGTGTGTCTTAAACTTGGTCCAGACCGGTCCACCAGGTCCAGCTTGCCCACATTGAATGCAGTAACCTAGATGTCCATTAGTGGACATTTCTGTCTCCGTCAAGTCCCTGTCAGGCTGTCCACAGGCAGCTGGTGGAGACTGGAAAAATCCCAGACATCAGCCACCCATCAACATCTTTCCATCATTGAGAATTATAGCATCTCTCCTCAGGATGAAGGCTCTTCTCTGACCTAATGGCCTTTGACATGGTTTTATCTTATTTTTTACCAGCAAGCACTACTTCTATTACTTGTATCATCAGCTCCTCCTCCTCCTTTTCCACTTTATTCCATGTATAAAAGTACATTCAGTGCACTTCCGTGGTGGTCCAGTGGGTAAAACTGCACATCCACTGCAAGGAGCATGGGTTCAATCCCTGGTCCAGGAACTAAGATCCCACATGACATGCAGAGTGACCACAGAAAAGGAAAAGCCTCTCGCCAGCTCTAAAATCATTATTTCACTCCTAAACTGGATCTTCCTTTCTCCTTATATTAATGCAAGTGACCTATTTCTCTCTGTCCTTTCTGTCAAATTTCTACAGCATCTATAAGAATAGTTTCTGCTTCCTCCTCTTCCACCCACTGGCCACACTGCAGCTTCCATAACCTCACCTGTCTCCTGAAACCTTCAGATTAAGGTTATCAATGACCTACTCATTACTATCCCCTTACAACTTGTTTTCATTCATAGGACATTTACTAGTCTAGTTATTAGATTAATAATGCTGGTAGAGACAAATCTGGCATTTGACAATGATCCGTTATAATTCTCCTCTAAATATTTGATTCATCTGACATCACTTTTCTCCTGTTTCACTAATCTATTACACTTACCCTCCCTCTTGAGTGCTCTGACATAGATAGAGGTTACTGATGGATCCAGCATCAATATACTTCCCCAAATCATTCATTCTCATGTCTTCTGGTGTCAATGACCAATAATCAAACTACTTTTGAATATCTGACCACTTTCCTGAGGCTTTGATCTAGAACAACTTTTATCAAAATAGTCTAAAAGAAAGTGGGGGATCGGGATGGGGAATACATGTAAAACCATGGCTGATTCTTGTCAATGTATGACAAAAACCACTACAATATTGTAAAGTAATTAGCCTCCAACTAATAAAAAAAAAAAGGCCAACTTTAAAAACTTCAATTTAAAAACAAAATTTAAACTGATCTCATTACCTGGACCTTAACCTTCTTTTCTTTTTTTTATTAATTGATTTATTTTAATTGGAGGCTAATTACTTT